CTTTTACTTTGGCTTCTTTCTATCAACTCCAAATGAATTCAAGCATTAATGAACTGGAGGGAAATTATTTAAGTCAATTTCTCTGGTAATAATTGGGACAAAGGAGGGATGAGCAGAAGAGATTGAAATTATCCTTGGCCCCACACGGAGGCAGTGATGTAACACTCAATATTTTATAAATATTTTGGTTTTGGTAAAATTCATGTATAGATGGTGCTGGATATTTACAACTCCCAATTCTCAACTTTTCATTTTTCTGTGGTTCCCTAAAGATCTTTCTGTTTTATTCAGGCTCCTTAACTTCCCTCAAGAAGAATGTGGAAAACTTCAAATTAGGTTTAGGTTTTATCACTTTAAAAAATCATGATGTTCTCAAACATTCTGGTTCTAAGTGAGATGACCACACACACACACACACACACACACACACACACAGAGAGAGAGAGAGAGAGAGAGAGAGAGAGAGAGAGAGAGAGAGAGACAGACACAGACACAGACACACAAACAATGTTTCATGATAGTTAACTAAGCAACAATGTAGCTGGGAGGCAATATGAGGGTGAAGAAATACAGTATGACAGGAGAAAAAATAGGTTTAATTTTTAAATATAAGAAATGACAGAGATTCTTCAGTCTACCCTAGGTCAGATTCTATTTTAGAATGCAAGTAGAAAGTTCTGCCCACTTTAGCAAAAAAAAAAGTATATATAATGAAGGTAACAATTGTATCATATATTTCTATTCAAGGATTTGTCTTTTTTAACTTGAGAAAAAGTTTAAAAATATAATACTGCATCTGCCATTTAAAGTCTAACTGAGCACATCGCTATGGACTTAAAAGATCCCCAAGTACTTATTGTTATTAAGTCACCTCAAAAAAGAATTTGGTATATCACATTTAGCAAAGGTGTTCAAAATTAAAGCATGCTAATCTACATACATTTATAAATAATGACTAGAACAACCTTTAAAATTCACAGAAGGTAGCCAATTTCAATTCAAATAATCTTAATAAATTATTCTCTGGATTTTCCCCTCACTCCCCAGGTCGGCTTAAATAGTAGTTCCTTTTCAATTAATTTGCTACCATTTGATTTTCATTAAAACAATTTAACTTCCACTTAATTAACCTCCTTTGTTTTAACCCAATCACCTCTGGATTTCAGCAAGAGAAATGTGTTTTGCTGGGTGGCAGGAAAATTAGAAAGTTGCCTTTTTTTTTTTTTGAAATAATGTATATGTGGGAGAAAAAAAGACAAAGAGGAAAAGGAGCAGGAGCAGGAGGAGAAAAATACCCCTTTTTTCTATTTTTGAATCTATTGGTAAACCATAAGATATAGAACATTATTTTCTAAAAACAGGCAGGAGAAAAATTCCTGCATCTTTAACTTTTGCAGCTATCTAGATGTAATTGTCTGGTCTAATTGTTTATTTCAAATGCTTATCAAAGATCTGGATTTTCCACCAACGAAGAAAATGTCTCTTTGTGGATCAGTTTCAAAGATACCAGGTCTCAATGTGTCTTTCCAATAATTATTCCAAATAAAATAATCTCCTATCCGTGGCTCAGTGTTAAAAACAACAACAACAAGGCTTTCTTTGACATGCTTTTGCATACAATTTGTAAATTGACCCCACAGAAATACTGTTCAAATGCAAAAAGGCTCACACAACCTACACTTCCATTGGACTATATAGCTACATAACATAATCTGTGCAAATACGAACATTTGGAAAGGGAGTTAAAGTGAAGGAAATGGCACTGGAAGAATTAACGCAGATGAGAAGAATTACTTTCACAAGAGAGTAATTACTTGCACTTTTAATAGCCTGAAGAAAATAATTGTGGCAGAAACTATCCAACATGGAAGGAAATGAGACAAGTTGGAGGTTGCACAATTCCATTTTCACACCACTTTGAAAAGTATAAAGTATAAAATGTAACTTTATTTGCATAGGAGTTTGAAGGGAGAAGAAGGGAGGAAGAGTATGTGCATAACATATGTTGTGTGTGCTAATAAAATGAAAAGGAAAAGAAGAAATTATAGGAAAATATGAGCAAGGCACATACAGTACCTGGAGAGGGGAAAAGAGATCAAGAGAAGAGGATTACCAATATAATCTTTCCCAGAATCCATGCTGGGAAAAACACCTTGACAATTGCTCTTCCCAGTTGTTTGACTCCAAATAAAACTGATTCAGAAGTTCATCGCTTTTAAAAATGGGGCAGGAAAATGACAGAAAACACATAAAGGGAAACTCAGATCCCAGTTTTGCAACATATCTGATCAGCTGATTATGAGAAGGTAAAGAAAAATAAGCACTGGGAGTTTTAAAAAGGGTTGAAAGAAAAGAAATGACTGGGGTATTATGGGGGCCAAGAACATAACTCTATCATTTTCAGCCATCCTAGTACTGTGCTGTGCTCACTCATGTTACAATAACAGCAGCTACCACATTACAAGAAAAGGACATCCTCCTAGGCTTTTGCAGCAGGTCTACAAAGATCACCGAGGGGCTCTAGCCAGGATTCCAGGGATCAGAATCTGGGCCAAAGGGTAACCTTCCATTGATTGGTTCAAGTGCCTGGCAATCAAACTCGCTAAGAACTTGTAGAGGTGAGATGAAATGCAGTGCATACGATCAAACTGAGGTAAAGGGAGAAGCAGATAACACATTGCTTGGAAGGTGATATACCATTAATATCTGCCAGAATGTCCTTTGTATCTTGTCCACCATCTGCCAAAAGAAAATCTCAGGTGTTATCCTGTTTCTTTTCCAGAATTCCACCATGCAAAAGCTTGTGTGCCTGGGTTTTGAGAATTTGGCTTATTGCACACCTTATTCCTGGCTCCTGGGAGAATCTCTCTCTCTCTCTCTCTCTCTCTCTCTCTCTCTCTCTCTCTCTCTCTCTCTCTCTC